CTTTATTGGGCAAATAAAGTGTACACAAACATAGGTATTCTTTCACTTGGCATGTGAAATTGATAAAGGTAAACATGAGTATATGCAAATCATGCCCAAATTATAAGCCTTGTAGGCCTTTCTGACCTCTTTTGATTAAATTCTACTGGCATAAAAACAAGTAATTGAAGTATTAAGAATCAATTAACAGTGAGCCTGCTGGTTGCCATTACACCTTTAATTAGTGGTGTTGGTTTCTGTATCACAGTGCAATGTTTAGTGGCTATAAATGAATTGATTGCCCAGCCACCAGCTGACATTTTGAGAACCTTGATACGTCATCACTTTTTCCTGCTACTAATTAAGATTTATATCTTCCATTGTATTAATATTGCAAAGGCCTTCGTGACGGAGGCAGAGTTTTTCCACTGCCTGTGCCTCTGAGGGTCTCGGTGATGTCGGTGTGCACTGTGTGGGATCACAGAGCCCTGAGTGCCATCCCAGAGTCAGTGCAAGCCAGGTCCTCTGCTGATTCACTCAACAAGCCAGCGTGAAAGAACCACCACCTGCAAATCACATCACTAAATGCCAGGGCCAGGGAGGAGGAAGAGAAACGAATACCAGGAGGAAGAAGCTTTTAAAGAAGAACTTTAAAAGCTCGCTGTGTCCCGGAAAAACCCACAATGCTTTCTGTGACTCAGGAGAATGCAAATAACAATAGGGTACCAATAACATGAACGTGAGCACAGAATATGTAGCAATTTGTTCTGACTTCCAACAAGTGATTTTCTAAAATACCAAGCCTTTTGGGCCAGTGTTGTGGCACAGTGGGTTAAACCAACGCCTACAACTCCAGCATCCCATATTGGAGCACCGCTTCAGGTCTCAGCTGCTCCACTTCTGTTCCTGCTCTCTGCTAATGTGCCTTGGAAGGCAGCATAAGATGGCCCAAATGACTGGCCCACACGAGAGACCTGAATCTATTTCCAGGCTCCTGGCTTCAAGCTGGCCCAGCTTTGGCCATTGCAGCCATTTGGGGAGTAAGCAAGTGGACAGAAGATTTCTCTCTGTGTGTGCGTATTTCTCTCTCTCTCTCTCTCTCTCTCTCTCTCTCTCTCTCCCCCCCCTCCCTCTTTCTCTGCCTTTCAGATAAATAAATAAATCATTTTTAAAAAAATTACACCTTTGGGGGTTAGTGCTGTTGCATAGCAGGTAAAGCCACCGCCTGTGGTGCTGGCATCCCATACGGGCACCAGTTTGAGTTCTGGCTGCTCCACTTCTAATCCAGCTGTCTGCTAATGCACCTGGGAAAGCATCAGAAGATGGTCCAAGTACTTGGGCCCCTGCACCCACATGACAGACCTGGAAGAAGCTCCTGGCTCCTGGTTTCAGATCGGCCCAGCTCAGGCCATTGCAGCCATTTTTTGTAGAGTGAACTAGCAGATGGAAGCTCTCTCTCTCTTTCTGTAACTCTGCCTTTCAAATAAATAAATACATCTTTCAAAAAGTAGGGCTTTATTTGTCTAAAAAATAAATATTTTTAAATTATTGTAGATTTAATTGCAGTTGTAAAGAATAATACAGAGACCCCATGTACTCTTTACCCAAATTTCTCCTGGGTAGCATCTTGCAGCACTGTAGAGCAATACCAAAACCAGGACATTTTGCTGTATGTATATATGTCCTGTATCTTCATTACAGGACACTTCTGTCACCCCAAAGGTGCCTCCTCACCCTTTTATAGCTGAACCCACTTGCCCCTGGTTCTCACCCCCTCCTTAAGCCCTGGCAGCCAGTAATCTGTTCTCTGTTTCTCTGCTTTCTGTCACCTCAGGAATCCTACAGTGCGTAACCAGCGAGGGCTGGCTGTTCTCACGCAGCCTCAATCTCCGAGATTCACACGAGGTGTGGCATGGGTCACGAGTTCACTCCTTCTCACTGCTGGCTAGCATTCCATGGTATGAATGTACTCATTGAAGTGTGTCTGGCTTGTTGCCACTTTTTGAGGATTATGAATAAAGCTTCTATAAATAGGCACAGGTTTTCTTAAAATGCATTTTAAATCAATACACAAAAATTATACATATTTCTGGGGTACAGTGTGGCTGTTTTGCAATGTGGCATTTTAATAATGCATGCAGGGGCTGGCACTATGATGTAGCAGGTAAAGTTGCTGCCTGCAGTGCTGGCATATCATATGGGTGCCGGTTCAAGTCCCGGCTGCTCCACTTCCAATCCAGCTCTCTGCTATGGCCTGGGAAAGCAGTGGAAGATGGCCCAAGTCCTTGGGCCCCTGCACCCACATGAGAGAACCAGGAAGAAGCTCCTGGCTCCTGGCTTTGGATCGGCGCAGCTCCAGCCATTGCGGCCACTGGGGAGTGAACCATCGGATGGAAGACCTCTCTTTCTCTCTCTCTGCCTCTGCCTCTGCCTCTCTGTAACTCTACCTTTCAAATAAATAAATAAATAAATATTTTGAAAAACCATAATAATGCATACAGCATGTGATGATCACATCAGAATAACGGCGTGTCCATCACCTCAGCTACTTACCATTTCTTTGTGTTGGGAAGATTCAAAATCCTCCCTAATGGCCATTTTGAAATATGTACTGTTGTCAGCCATAGTTATAACTCCTATGTCACTGAACACTAGCAATTAAGCAACATTTTTTTAAAAACTTACTTATTTGAGAGGCAGAGAGAGACACAGAAAGAGCTCTTATCTTCTGGTTCACTCCCCTAAATGCCCGTAAGGGCCCCAGGCTTGAGGCCAAACTCAAGAGCCAGGAATTCAATCTGGGTCTCCCACCTGGGTGCCGAGGACCCGTATGCTTGAGCCATCACTTGCTGCCTCTCAGGGTGCACATTAGCAGCACACTGGGATGGGGGCGGAGCTGGACTCACACTCGGGCACTCTGATACGGGACGCAGGCATCCCAAGCAGTATCCCAACCAGGCCAGGTGTCATTCCTGCAACGCTTTTTAAATGTTTCCTGTGGCAAAGCTTCAGGGGCTCATCTGAGGCCACACGAGTCAGAAGGGGACTTTCACGGGGGCAATGTCCATCTGCAGACATTAGTGAGGAAGGCAGCTGTCCATTTCCAGATGTTGTCCCTTCACTGTGTAGAGGAAATACAGCCACAACCAGAGACAGAGAGAAGCAGACCCCTCCTCCCGACACAGACCTTGAAAAGTGGTTGCTTGCAATTAACTAGTGAAGCAACTGCCCATGGTTATCATGTCTACGGAGGGAAGACATCCTAAGTTCTGCTTCTGTAAACTCCAGTCATAAATCTGTCCTAATAAATCTGCCCTTGGTATCTCTTCTACAAACATACCAGGCCCACCGACCACTGGAAGTGTGGTCCTAAGTCACGTAGGCTGCAGTTTAAACCCACCAATGCTGTAACAGCTAAGGTAGGATGCTGTTGAACCTATAAATATAGTGAGAAACTTGGGATTGTTGCTCAGTTCTCAGGAAATGAGTCCAGTGAGCCGCTGGTGTAATAAACTACTTCAATCCTCCACCGTCTCTGTGCCTGTTTGAATAAAGGGGGTCTTCCCGCCTCGGATTTCTGTAGCTGCAGACAAGCGCTGCCTGTCCCCAGTTCTGGCTCAGCTTCCATCCACCTCTCAGAGTTGGTGCTGCCGTCTCTCAGGGTGTAACTTGTCTCTTCCAAAGCAGCTCACTGCCAACTGCTCAGGTTCTACTGCAACTTAATAAACACGCGAAAGACTCACTAGGGAAGCATTTTCCAGTGCCGCTGTCTGAGGCTTGACTGATCGCCTGGTTATTTTGATGCGAGAGGCCTGCAGGCCACATTCTGAGGAATATGGCCCGAGGCAGCCCTCTGGTCATGGAAACCAGAACCACAGAGGTAACTTGGCCTAACTGGCCCAGAGCCTACAGGGCCGGCCAACACTTCCATGGTGCCAATTAGGAGGCATACCTGGTTCCTGGTGTCTAGCACACGCAGTGGTAATTCATTTAATCCTCACAACAACTCTACAAGGTGGGAACGGCTATCATCTCCTTTTCCAGAAGAGGAAGCTGAGACACACAGAGAGGTGAGCTAAGTTGCTCAGGGCTGTACACTGTGAAAACATCAGGTTTGGTCTTTGACCTTTGGCCACTGCATCTAGTGTCCACCATAACCAGTACCCCAAAGCAGCCAGTGTGGGTCTGGACCCTGGTTTCAGGTGCTCCCCACCACTGCACACTGGGCAGAAAGTGGTGAGTCCCAGGTTAGAACTTGGGGGTGCCGGCTGGTGACGGAGAGTTCCAGTGTTTTGTCTTTCCCAGGAGAGCTGGCTTGCTGCAGAGACTGTCCCAAACCACTTCTTTCCTCAGGAACGTTCTGCACTTTTCTTTGCTTAGAGCACCTTGGGATTCAGAGCAGCTCTGCTTCAGAACTCCCGTGGGTTCCTCTTTAACAGACACGATCTTGGAGCAGTAAAACTGATGCAGTCTATAGCAAGTCCAGTAGAAGCCGGGAAAGGAGGAGAGCTACACCCACGGCTTCATGTCTGCTGAAGATCAGACTGCCTTAAATTATCCTTCCAACTTTTTATTTATTTATTCTGTTTGAATTGAGAGACCAAACTTCTCCTGGAAGAGTTTGGGAAGCTAGAAGTTCCAGATCATTAAGAAGAAAGCGTGGGAGGGGTGGCACAGTGGTGTACTAGGTTAATCCTCTGCCTGCGCAGCCAGCATCCCATATGGGCACTGGGTTCTAGTCCTGACTGCTCCTCTGCCAGTCCAGCTCTCTGCTGTGGTCCAGGAAGGCAATGGAGGATGGCCCAAGTGCTTGGGCCCCTGCACCCGCATGGGAGACCAGGAGGAAGCACCTGGCTTCTGGCTTTGGATCGGCTCAGTGTCGGCCGTAGTGGCCATTTGTGGGGTGAACCAATGGAAGGAAGACCTTTCTCTCTGTCTCTCTCTCTCACTGTCTAAAACTGTACCTGTCAAATAAATAAATAAAAATATTTTTAAAAAGAAGAAGAAGGAGGAGGAGAAGGAGAAGAAAGTGTGGGAAGTCTGGCTGACAGAAATAAACTCAAAAAAAAAGGGCGGGACTACAGATTCAAGTGCACCCATCTGCACGAGAGAATTTTTCCACGCGCCATTGCTCTTCGTGACTGCTGTTTTAAACCTCCAGCAGGCCGCAACACTAATTAAGCAAAGCCTTTTATTTCTGAGTCCCTTCATTAAGAAAAATAATAATAAACTGCCTGGTCTCTTTAGCGAGCTCTTCCTTGCTGCTTTGTTGCTTGGTGCTGATAGCCAAAGGTTCCCATTCCAGCTGGTTCCGCGGCTCTGGCTGAACTGCCAGCTTCCCGGCTTTCAGAAATCTCATTTCCAGGTCCCTGCTGTTTTCCTGTGAGATGCCAATTGCTGACTCTGGTTCCCAGGAGGCTCCCAGGCTCTGATGAACTGCCAGCTTCCTGTTGCCCAGCTTTGTTGTGAGCGCCGCCACCCTTGTTCAGCAAACTGCTGCTCCACCAACCTAATGCTCGTTTCTCCACCCAGTTTCTGCACAAGTCATCCCCGTAGACACGGTGTGCGGTCCTGGTGCCCGGGCCACACAGTGAAGGAACCACAGCTCACTGTTGCTGCTGTTACCGTCTCTGCAGTGCCAGGAACCATGAGCACCACTTTGGAAATGCTGTTGCCTGGGATTTTAAAGCTGGCTCCCACTAGGGTAAGGGAAGCGATTGTCTGGGCACGGTTGCCTGGCCTGCGCGTGGGAGTCATCTTTCTGTGGTTTTGCCACATTCAAGATTTTCAGAGGCGGCCTTTTCAAAGGAGTCTTTGTTGAACAATTTCCCTCCCATGCCTCGCTTGCTGTGAGTTTTTATCTTGAATGAATGTTGAATTTTTTTCAAATATTTCTTCTGCATCAGTTGATGTTTTTCTTCTTCACACTATTAATAGGAAGGATTACATCAATTGATTTTCACACGCTGAACCAGTCTTGTATTCTCAGGATAGACTCCATGTGGTTGGATGTAGTGTTTTTTTCCATTTTTTAAAGATTTATTTATTTGCTTGAAAGAGTGACAGAGAGGGAGACACGCACACACACACACACACACACACAGAAGAAGGGGGAGAGAGACAGATTGATCTTCCATCATGGGTCCACTCCTCAAATGGCAGTAACAGCCAGGTCTGGGTCAGGATAAGCCAGGGGCCAGGAACTCCATCTGGGTCTCCCACTTGGGTAGCAGGGGCCCAAGCTCTTGGGCCATCAAGCTTTGCCTTCCCAGGCGCATTGGAAGAGAGATGAATCAGGAACTGAACACAGGGGCTCACATCAACGCTCCAATATGCGATGCCAGTGTCACAAGTGGTGGCTTAACCTGCCGCACACCACAGGGCTGGTCCTAGCATTCTTTTCCTATATTGCTGGGTTTGCTGTGTTGATACTTTGTTGGGGACTTTTGGGTCTATGGCTATGCATGTTGGTCCGTAGTTTTCTTGTACTATTTAGCTTTAATTTCACAGTAATATGGATCTCATACAAAGAGTTGGGATGTATTTCTTTTTCTTATGTTCTCTGAAAGAAACTGTATAAGGTTGTTTTCTTCTTTAAATATTTGAAACTACCTGGTTTTGAAGGTTTGTGACTACAGACTCAATTTGTTGTGACAGTTCTAACACCACTCAGGTTCCTTATTTCACCTTGGGTCAGTTGTGCTGCTTTCTGGTTTTCTGAGAAACTGATCCATTTCATCCAACGAGACAAATTTACATGCATCTGAAACCACTGCCTTGGTTCTGCAACCACAGGACGTGAGTAACGCCACTGATTTGAGAAAAAGTGAATAGAATTTTTCCTCTGTTGAGTTTCTGACGAGGCCACAGCCCCAGCCAACAATCAGCTTACAGCCTGGTAAAACCAGCAAGTGGAAAATCCAGGTAAGCCATGCCTAGACTTTGACCTTTAGGAAGTCTGAGACAAGACGTGCATGTGGTTTTACGCCACTGCTCATAGCAATCTGCTACACAGCACAGGAACTAATACAACCTTCTCATGCTAGACATGTGTGACTACGCATGAAGAAAGCTCCTCATAGACAGCACATAGTTGGTATGTTTAGAACATTTACATTCAATATTATTGATAAGTTCAGATTTAGATCTACTTACCGTGTTATCACTTGCTTCTTGTTGATTCCATTTTTTGTTTTTATGTTGCATTTTCTGAAAAAAATCTATTTGACCATACCTTTCTTTAGTATTAGTAGGAGTTAGTTTCCCCTTCCCTGCTTTCTTGTGGGTTATTTGAACATTTTTAGTATTCTATTTAGATTTACTTAGTAATTTATTTAGTTAATATTTATTAATGTATTAATTTAGTTAATATTTATTAATAATATATTTACTTAGTAATCTATTTAGATTTACTTAGGTCATTTTCTGTCTGTATCTCTCTATGTTATATTTTTTCAGTGGCTGCGCAGTGGTTACATTGTGAAACCAATATCCCACTTGAAGTGGTGAAGCACAGCTGTATGAACTATGACCTAGGAGAAGATACAATGGAATGGAATAAACAGAAGCCAGTAACCCATTGTCCCAACTCAATCCAGAATTCAGAAGTCTCAAAATGCTCAAAAATAAATTTTCTCTTACTCCGCCAGATGGGCAAGTATTGAATTCTTTCCTAGACCATTTATCTCAGGTAAGGAGATATGTTACATATTATTTGGCCACATTTGATATAATCAACAAAGTTTGTTTGTTGATTTTCCTTTACTTTCTAGACTCCCTCATCTTGCTTAGAAATGGGGCCTTGGACACTGTTTTAGAAAGTGATCCCGAGGCCGGCGCCGTGGCTCAATAGGCTAATCCTCCACCTTGCGGCGCCGGCACACCGGGTTCTAGTCCCGGTTGGGGCGCCGGATTCTGTCCCGGTTGCCCCTCTTCCAGGCCAGCTCTCTGCTATGGCCAGGGAGTGCAGTGGAGGATGGCCCAGGTGCTTGGGCCCTGCACCCCATGGGAGACCAGGAAAAGCACCTGGCTCCTGGCTCCTGCCATCGGATCAGCGCGGTGCGCCGGCTGCAGCGGCGGCCATTGGAGGGTGAACCAATGGCAAAGGAAGACCTTTCTCTCTCTGTCACTCTCTCACTATCCACTCTGCCTGTCAAAAAAATAGAAAAAAGTGATCCCGTTTCACTGCTGGGAACCCTATCCAAGGCATCTTCATCATTGGCCAAGCCCATACTGGAAGTTACTCCAAGAGAAAAGGGCAGGGAAAGGCGGCAGATCAGACCCTCAGCCTGGTAGATGAACCAGAGCAGGCCTGATCCAGTCCCACTGCTCCTCAGGGCCCCAGACAGATACCAGCCCAGTGATTCCCCATCATCTTGAGTTCCACTGGTGAACTTCTCTCCTTGGCCTTTTGAGCGAGGTAGGGTGGCATCCATGGGTTCCAGTCTTGCCCTGCCTCCCTGCATCAGTGATGTTCAGCACCGTGTGCAGACCTAGCAGTCCTGGGCCCCTACACTCTCATCAGTGGTGAAGACGCCAGGCTTTCCTGAGAGGCCAGCGTGGGTGGAAGCACCAGAACAGTAGGGGTGGCTGAGCAGGGAAGGCCATGTGTGCAGCCAGGGAGATGACTGCTCAGCCACACCTGGACAGTGCCACCTGCAATCATCTCAAGTCCTGCGATGATCTAGGCAGAAGGTGGGGAGCTGCAGCCATGCTCTCTCACGGTCCCGTGAGGATTCTGCCAACTCCGACCCCGACACTTCGGGAGCCCATGTGCCAGTGGCTCTCACACTGTTCCTTCCCGTCCACTTGCACTTAAGTGACAAGATGAATGAGTTAATGCCTTCAGTAAAATGAACAATGGCTCATTCTCGTTCTTCTGGGTCTATAAAAGCCAAAGGGGACATGTGTACAGTCATAGGACACCATTTACAGAATCCCAGGGATGCAAATAAGTGCTTAGTACCAAAAAGGTTAAAACACAGGTGCCACAGTGGGAGATGTGATGCTCGACAGACAGTCCTGTCTGTCTGTGAACGGGCGGGCCATGCGCCTGGACTGGAGTATCCAGTCCCTCTTCCCACCCTTCCTTCCTAAATATTCACCACTCCTCTTCATGCCTGGCACTCTGTTAGGTACTGGATACTTGTGGTCAAAGAATTATTCTGCAAGAGTTAGACAACCCTTCATTGTCCACCCAAATCCATTGTTCTTTGCTCAGTAATGGGATTTAGCTGGGTCCTGGCTACTGTGATTTCTGTCTCTATTGCAGTGACCGTGGGTCCACATTCTCCCCCAGCTGACAGTAAAAGGAAATGTGACCAGGTAAGGCCAGGAAGTATATATTTGTCCTTCATGTGCTCTTTCTTCTTCTGTCAAGACAATGAGGGGATAGCAAGGCCCTGGGATGGAACGGAAGTAGGTTCCCGTACCGCCATGTGGAGGAGAACCCCTCACTCACCAGGAACACCTACCTGCTCTGTTACATACACACATCTCTCTGATGTGTGAGCCCTTACACATCTTGGGTTTTTGGGTTTGTTTACTTTCAGTAGTCCAGCTATCCTGACACAGAAATTAATATCTTGAAATGGAGAACTGCTGTTTGGAAAACATGTATATAAAATAGAGGAGGTGGCTTAGTGGTTTGGCACCAGAGATACAGATAGAGCAGGCTGGAAAGCTGCGGATTCCTATCATCTCACGGGCAAAATCTTTGCCAAAACCATTCCCTATGTTAGCTTATGTGGCTAACTGACTACCTCCCAGGCCTGTAGCTCTGGGGCAGGGGTAGCACACTAGGCCACATGTGCCAACTTCAGCCTGCTTGGCTGCTTCTGTAGCTCACGCTTCACTGGAACTAAGCCATGTCCTTTCACTCACATGGACCTCCGGCTGCTTTTGCACTACAAAGGAAGCACTGAGTAGTTCCAAGAGTGACCAGAGGGCACTTGGCGTCTAAAATTATTTACTATCTGGCCCTTTAAGGAGGTTGCCAATCTCTGATATAAACAGCAATGGGACCGAGGTGACGTTAGAGACACAAAATGCAAGGAGCCACCCACCAACCAGGACAGGTACCGTGAAATGAACAAGAAACGGGCTTCTCCTGAGTTTGAGCCATTCTACGCTTAGGATTGTGCTTGTTTTGGTGATCGAGCCTACCCTGAAAGCACGGTTCCCAATCCCCATCGCCCTCTGCGTCTCTCCTCCATGTCACTTAGCACTGGATGGGCCTTTCTGTCCTAACTCTGGGCGCAGCCATGCGACCTGCTGCCTCCCTGTGGTCATAAACAGCGGTACATCTTCTGATAGACCTATGTGCACGCATCACTCATTCTTTCTCAAAAATTGTTTGTTTGAAAGATAGAGCATAGAGAGAGATTTTGCATCCGCCCGTTCACTCCCATAACAACCAAGGCTAGGCCAGGCTGAAGCCGGGAGCCAGGAACTGCACCCAGGTTTCCCACGTGGGTGGCAGGAAACCAAGTACTTGGGCCATCTTCTGCTGCCTCCCACGAGCATGCATCAGAAGCAGAGAGTGCCCAGGACTCAAACCACACTCTCCACTGTGGGACGGGGGCAACCCAAGCAGCAGCTTATTACACTTCTCCACAACACCCACCTCACTCACTCTTCTTTAGGAGCCGAGCTTCTTATCTACTGTAAAGCTGTTCCAAAACTATGCGGTAATTATCGTATTTCCACTTTGCAAGTGAGGGGGAAAGGATCAAAAATGCAAAGAGATTTGTCCAAATTTTTCAGCCCCAGCTGAAAAAAAAATAATGCCACAACTGAGAATCCAGCTCTGATCTTGCACTCCAAATCCAATGGCTTTGAATATAAAAATTAAAGGATCCTGTCCAAAATCTTGCTCAAGTATCCTGAACTCCAACAAGCCACAGGAGCACAGCAAATCGCACGTAGAGCAAGAGTGCCCACTCCCCGGCGAGAGGGCGACAGGGCAGGGTGCACAGGCGCTCCATTTCCCGGCTGCACAGCTCTACTCAGCCGACTGTTCACACAGAAATGCGCCCCCGGGCTGCCACCTCGCTTGGTCTTTTGAGAAAACTCAGAAATCCAAACTTTTCTTTAAGTTATTCTATTTTTAAATGTTAACTCTATTCTCAAATATACACTGCAGACCAAGTAAAACACACAGACCTCATTAGGCTAATGAGTTGCTAGCACAGGCTCTCTGCCCTAGATTTGTGCAACATTTTACAGTTTTGCAAGCTGTTTAAAATCCACTCTGTCACTCTTCTCTTATAAAAGCCCCCTAAAGACAGGATATCATCAGTGACACTTTCAGGGATGCAGAAACTGAGGATCAGAGACATCAAAGAACTTGCTCAGGTTCATCTCCAAGATTAGCAAGTGTCCCAAGTGGCTTCTGCAAGCTCCCAGTTTCTGTACTGTTTGTTCCTTTCTCACGAGGGGGTTGAGAGCTGTCTTGTGCTGAGGCCAGAGCAGGGAAGGGCTGGGTGGGGGTCTCCACTACTTCAGGAAGCCAGGCTCTGGCCAAGTCACCCAAGCTCGTGCTGTGTGCAGCCCTTTGCTGAAATGGGGGAACTGACTGAGAGTCACGTCCCCCACAAAGAGTCTAATTCTCTGATTTTCATTTTCCCTGTAAGTGAACCATATCTACAAACTTAACTGAGAAAGATCTACCTGCCCATCAAATAGCCTTAGGTTTTCAAAACAAAGAAAATTAATAATTAAAGTATTAGTAGAGTTTTAAAAGCAAGTAAAAGTAATAATAAAAAAAAACATAGGCATCAACTTTATCAAGTAAGCATAAAACTATATTAAGAAGGGATTTCCTGGGCCTGTGTTGTGGCGTAGCAGGTAAAGCTGCCACCTGCACTGCTGGCATCCCTTATGGGTGCTAGTTCAAGTTCCATCTGCTCCACTTCCGATCCAGCTCTCTGCTATGGTCTGGGAAAGGAGCAGAAGATGGCCCAAGTCCTTGGGCCCCTGCACCCACGTGGGAGACCCAGAAGAAGCTCCTGGCTCCTGGATTCAGATCAGCCCAGCTCTGGCCATTGTGACCATTTGGGGAGTGAAGCAGTGGATGGAAGACCCCCACCCCCCACCCCATAACTCGGCCTTTCCCATAAATAAATAAATAAATAAATGAATCTTTTAAAAAGAAGAAGGGATTTCCTCCTAGCATCTACTCAACGTGGCTCCCCAGACTGCAAAGTCAGTACAACCCACAGCCGACCATCCTGGAGTGAGTCGGCCCTCATCTAAACAACCACGTCATTTCCACACAGGAAGTAGCACTTTAAAAAAGAAAAAAGATTTATTTATTTGAAAGAGTTAGAGAGGGAGAGGCAGAGAGAGAGAGATGTTCCATTCGCTGGTTCACTCCCCAAGTGGCCACAACAGCCAGGGCTGGGCCAGATGGAAGCCAGGAGCCTGCAGCTTCTTCCGTGTCTCCCACGTGGGTGCAGGGACCCTAGCACTCGGGCCATCTTCCACTGCTTTCCCAGGCCATAGCAGAGAGCTGAATGGGAAGTGGTGCAGCCGAGACTTGACCTGGCACCCATATGGGAAGCTGGGGTCACATTTTACTTATTTTCTCTTTAACCACTTTATCAAATTCATACTGAATGAGGATAAAGAGGGGCGGGAAGGAGACAGGAAGGATTCTCAGTCCACAGTGGGGCCGTGACAGCCACAAGCGCTTGCAGAGGGCAGGCAGGGCTGGAGGCATCGGCTCCACTCTGGGGCTCGGGTTTGACAGGTGAGCCCGCGAGGCTGTAGGGAAGGATCCAGCAGGCACGCAGGCTGTCCACCCACGCCAGGACCTGGCTCTGGCAGAAGGGCCGTTTACAGACCAGGGCACTGCCGTGACACAGCATAGACTCCAGCAGTCCACAAAAGGAAGCGCACTTGACCTGAGGCTGGGCATAAAATGTGCTTGAGAAATTCCCTTGTTGGAATTTCATGTTTTTATCATAGCATTTTGTCGTTTAAAAAATATGGAGGGGAGAGGGAGAGAGAGGGCAGTGGAGGCATGCATGCTCTTTAAAAAAAAAAAAAAAAAAACAACAACAAAAAACAAGGTTTCTTGAAAGACCCAAGTAAATACAGATGGTTCCCTAATGAGATTATTTTCCTGGGACCAGTGTCATGGCATAGTGGGTAAAGCCACCACCTGGGACACCAGCATCCCCTATGGGCACTGGTTGGAGTCCTGGCTGCTCCATTTCCAATCCAGCTCTCTGCTATGGCCTGGGAAAGCAGCAGAAGATGGCCCAAGACCTTGGGCTCCTGCACCCATGTAGAAGACCGGGAAGAAGCTGCTGGCTCCTGGCTTCAGCCTGGCTCAGCCCTGGCCATTGCTGCCACTTGGGGAATGAACCAGGGTAGGGAAGACCTCTCTCTCATTCTGTCACTCCCTCTCTCTCTGTGTGGCTTTCAAATACATAAATAAATCTTTAAAAAAAAAAAAAAAGATTGTTTTCTTCCTGCCAAGTAAAGTAGCTACTTGATAAGCAGAAATCGCACTCCAAGTCTTTATACAGTCATCACTCACACAGTCCGTTGGCTCTCCCTGATCGCCTCTCTTTTTCTTCCCTAAGAAACTCACTCAGCAGAAAACCAATCTAACAGCGCCTCAGTGCTACACAGAGCCTCGAGGAGACTTGACAATTACACGGGTGATTTATGGACACAGAATATGGGTGTGCATTCTTACCACAGAAGCCGCCCACCGCTACATGGCAGAGGTGGGATTTCTGAAGAGATTCCTTTAGCGGATCTTTAAGCTCACTCCCCAGAGAAGGAGTGGGTGGGGACATCCGGCTCCTTAAACTTTGTCGGCTTGTGGTCTGAGTCCTTGTTGGATGCTCCCAGGGAAGCTAGTAGCTCCTACTAGGCCATTCCCATCCCCACCCCTGACCGAACACCTATATGATAAAGGATGGGGGGACCACAGGGAAAGACTCCTCTCCCCAGCAGAAGTTTTGGGTACCAGAACAACCCTCCTCAAAAGAAGCAGCCTTGTCAAACACCAAGAACTTCTGTGCCCTATACCTGCCATTACACTGTTGGCGGGTGGGATACCCACAGAGGACAGCCCTGCATTAAGACCACTTGCCAGGGCTGATGCTGTGGCACAGCAGGTTAAAGCCCTGGCTTAAAGCGCCAGAATCCCATATGGATGCCGGTTCTAGTCCCAGCTGCTCCTCTTCCGATCCAGTTCTCTGCTATGGCCTGGGAAAGCAGTAGAAGATGGCCCAATTCCTTGGGCCCCTGCACCTGCGTGGGAGACCTGGAAGAGGCTCCTGGCTCCTGGCTTCAGATCGGCGCAGCTCTTGCCGTTGCGGCCATCTGGGGAGTGAACCAATGGATGGAAGTCCTCTCTCTCTGTCTGTACCTCTCTCTGTAACTCTGTCTTTTAAGTAAATAAAAAATATATCTTAAAAAAAAAAAAGACCACTAGAGAAAGCACTTCTGGGCCTTTGTTTGTAATATCCTCTCTCCTAAAACGACACTGGGGTTTAAATTGAGAGTTTTATTAGATCAGCTCTAATCCCGTTGTTCTTTTCACTTAGACCTTGAGTTTGACTGCAATCATCTCAAAACTGCACAACTGCCTCCTTCCCCCAGGCATCCCCCTTAGGTATTCACTGCACAAACAGGCACCGGGGAGAAGCTCCAGGGAGCCGCTCTTCCGAGTCTGCTTCTGCCTTCACCCCACGGGGGACGAGGGCTCCGCGTCCCACCACTCACTTTATTAAGCCTTTCTGGGTGTGGAAGAGCTATGCATGGTTACTTAAAAAATACAAAGAAAATGAGGTAGAGGAAGGAGAAAAGCAAAACCTAGCATAATCCTCTCATTGAGACGTAACTATATTAAAGCATCAAGGAACCTGGAAAGAAGGTCTTTCCAGAACTTTGCAATGTGTGTTTACACACGGTTTTATATACTATCTTGAAAATGTACTGATGGAGACGGAAGGTACCAAAGAGAACAAAGAGAAGGAGAGAGAAATAGAAACAGAGACTGAAGCGAAGATAAAGGAGAAGACATCAGGGAGAGGGAGGGAGGAAAGGAGGGAGAGAGAGAGAGAGCGAGCGAGCCCTTAAATCACTGGGCTGAGCACCCGGTGTCAGGACTCTGGGCCAGCCAATCAACAAGCTAAAACCTTCACTCTACTTTCTCTCTCTCTCTCTCTCTCTCTCTCTCTCTCAATATGTATCTATTTATTTTGGAAGAGAGACACAGAGAGACACAGAGAGACACCTTCCATCTACTATGTCACTCTCCAGATGGCCACAACAGCCAGCGCTGCTTCTTTCAGATCTCCCACAGGGGTGTCAGGGGCCCAAGTCCTTGGGCCATTTTCTGGAGCTTTTCCCAGGCCATTAGCAGGGAGCTGGATCAGAAGTGGAGCAGTCGGGACACAAACCAGTGCCCACATGAGAGGCCAGCGTCGCAGGTATGTAGTTTAACCCCCTGTGTCGCAGCACTGCCCCCCCCCCCACTTCTCTTTCTGAGTACAGGGTACCCATGCAGTAATCCAATCCTGCAGTAACCTCCTGCCCTCAAGCTCAAGGCCCCTGAAAATTACCTTGCACCAATTAACAGTACAAAGCACTGCTGTTTCCTGACACCCAGTTTTAAAGGCATTCTTTTTAAAGTTTTTTTAAAAGAATTGTAGACTTAGCAGCCTACAGAGAAAATACAATTCACTTCTATTACGAACTTTTAAAACTACATTTTATTTATCTACTATTTATTTACTGTGCTTTTCTTTATACTTATAGATTGATATCTGACGAAGTTGTCACATCACCTCCTGCGCTGACATTATTACAAGGGTTTATTTGGCAAGACAACAAGAACATCTAGTGACAATCCTGGCAAACCATTCTGGCTAAACTCAAGGCCAGCACTGTAGAAGAACTGACTAAGAAGATTCAAATGTACTTGAGGGGCTGGGTGGCGCATGGGTTAAGCTGCTGCCTGAGATGCTGGCATCCCATATGGCACCAGTTCAAGTCTCAGCTGCTCCATTTCCAATCCAGCTCCCTGTTAATGTGCCTGGGAAAGTGGTTGAAGATGGCCCAAGTATTTGGGCCCCTGCACCTATGTGGGAGACCCAGATGTAGCTCCTGGTTCCTGGCTTTGGCCTTCCCAGTCCTGGCTGTTGTGGCTATCTGGGGAGTGAACCAGCAGACAGAAGGTCTCTCTCTCTCTCTCTCTCTCTCTCTTTCTCTTTGCAAGTCTGCCTTTCAAATAAGCAAATAAATCGTTTTTTAAAAAATGTACCTGAGCAAATGTTTTTTAATTAAAAATACATACATACATGTTTTTTAGTTAAAAATACATATTTCAAACAAACCATGAGTCAGAACTGAGATACCTAATGCATGGCCTGGTTCGGGCAAAACTTCCTGATAGCCAAGTTCACTTTTCTGACCTGATGTTGGGACTATGGGCACTGGGTCGTGTCCCGGATGCTCCTTTTCTGGTCCAGTTCTTTGCTTATGGCCTGGGAATATGGCCCAAGTGCTAGGACCCTGCACCCATGTGGTAGACCCAGGGGAAGCTCCTGGCTGCTGACTTTGTATCAGCCCAGCTCCAGCCATCGTGGCCACTTGGGTGAGTGAACCAGTGGATGGAAGACTTTTCTGTCTCTCCCTCTCTAACTTGCTTCTCAGATAAATAAATAAATAAAATCTTTAAAAAATAAAAAGCAAATGAACAGTGACCACACTTTCCCAAGTCTGGGACCATCTGTCCAGGGCACCTGCCTCCACTGCCACCAGCCCAGAAAGTATTCTGTGTGTCTGCACCCTAGGGCTTGCCCGCAGCAGGCAGCTGCTGTTCAAGTCTCACTGTCACCGCCCTCAAGGAGCCAGTAAGGCGCTCAGTGACAGGGTGCCTGGGGTTCGCCTGGGGACGGGGTTCCTCCAGGCCCGCCCCCCACCAGGAGCATCTGCTCAGGAACAGCCTCCCCTGGCAAAACGCACCGCCCCCAGCCCACCACCTGCCTCTGCCGAGAAGGGGTGCTCAGTGCGCCCCGGGTTTTGCTTCAACGGGCGGAAGAGCGAACACTCCAGAGACAGCCCTCCTCTTCCGCGTTACACAGGCGTGCGCGCTGAGCTCTGGATGCTTCTGTGACTGCGGGCCACGCTCTGTCGTCATTTAAGAACCGCAAGGTAACTGTCCACAGAGGCAAATAGCATGTGCCCGCGCACTGCGCCCGCCTGAAGCAGCACACTGGAGGGCGAGCAATTTGCCCAGTGCCCGGTCTCCCTTCTCTCTCCTGACACAGCCGGCGGAGGCGGGTTCACGGCCAACAGAACCGCGTGAATCAATCAGAGAGCTGTGATCAGAGCGAGGAGCAGGAGACCTGCTTGCCTCTCCACGCCCCTGACCTGGCAATCTCATCATCACCTTCTCGTAACCCTGGCCTGCCCACCCGCCAGCTGCCCTCCGCCCCGCCGGCCAGCCAGCCAGCCAGCCGTGGGAGGCAGGATGGATGGAGCCGTGCCCCATCCATCTATGGGGGCAGAAAAGCGAATGAAACACCTCCCCTTCCTTCCATCTCCTAACACTGCTAGGAAAATGTCATGAGACTGATGGCCTGCCCAGATGTTTGTCTACGCGAAATCCAGGGCCAGCACCAGTGCCCCCAGGGCTCTGAGCCAGTGAGCTGCCGAGGGAGTTCCTGCCTGTGGCTCCTTCTGCCCGGGGACTCCCTCTTGCTCTGGGCTGCTCCGGGCCACCCTCTGGCAGCAGAAAGGGACCCCTTGACCCCCACAACTCCCCACAGGGGAAGCAGCCAGGCACATTCAGAGGGCAGAGCCAGCGCTGTTTACTACTCACACTTAGCGGCACTGAAATTCACGGCTGTTGCTTCACATCATTCTGGGCAGAAGAGCGAATGAGACCCCTTCCTCCTGCCTCCTACCCAGTGCTGGGAAAATGTCCCGAGATCGATCGCATGCCCACATGGTGGCCCCCGTAGCAGCGGGACGTCGCCCTGGGAATCCCTTCTCTTACCCTGTTTTCTTTCCTTTGATGGCGTTCACGGTTCGCCTCCAATGCTGCTGCAAGGAGCAAGCTAAAAAGCAGAACTGTGACTGCCACCTGACACCAGAGGCCCTGGGCCCGCGCCGGCCCCTCGGGATTGCCCAGGAGTTAGTTTTCACCACTCTGCTCCTGGCCAGAGCAGGATGGGCCTTACCCACCATTGTCTAACCCAACCAAAGATGAGACTAAACCCAGGAAGTCCTGCTCCTAAGAGCTAAGAGAGATGAATAATTAATAAGCCGCCGGAACTTGGAGCTGATGATGTGTGCAACCTGGACGAGCGAAAAAATGTTGCTGACTTCTATTCCAAAGAAAGCCCAGATGAGGGGGTGTCATGTTTGCATGTTGGGGACCAAACCTCTGATTCCAAATACTAGAGGTTTTTTTTTAGATTTAAGATTTATTTATTCATCTATTTATTTGAAAGGCAGAGAGACAGACCAAGAGGCAGAGACAGAGACAAAGACACAGAGAGGTTTTCCCTAACTGGCCACAACAGCCAGGTTTGGGCCAGACCAAAGCCAGGAGCCAGGAGCTTCATCCGGGTCTCCCATGTGGGTGCAGGTGCCCAAGCACTTGGGACATCTTCCACTGCCTTCACAGGTGCAGTCCTTGAGGAGGGAAGCACAGCTGTGGGCACTGCTACCTGTAAGTGCCCAGAGTGGGTGCTCCTGGGAATTTGGAGAAAACGCTGGAAGGTGCAATCTGCTTTGGTTGCAGTGTCACTGACAGGAGCTAGCAGTCAACGCCAACAGATCCTCTCAGTTCTACCTTAAAAGAGTTCCAGGATTTTAGAGCTCCTGCCCCTCCACTGGAGGCAGGGTGCTCTCCTGACCCTCACCTTCAAGGCAGTAGCCTTGAAGTAGACAGGCATACAGGTTAAAATCAATTAGGTTTGTGAGCTGGAAGACCACACCTTCACCACGCCCCTGTGTGACCTCATGCCCCTACCTGGCCACACCTGGGTGCCCACCAGCCAATCAGGTTAATTAACCACTCCCCTTTGGAAGTGGGTTAAAAGCCTGGGACAGTGTGGCTTCTCTTCTTCCCCGGCCTCTTGCCAGGAGGGGGCTGGCTGTAGCCCTGTGCCTCCAGGGCACATGCCACGTGCCCTAGGCTTCCTGGCCTGGATGCTCCTCCATGTGGCTGGTTCCTGGTGCTCAGTATGAACCCAGATTTACCCCTCTTTCTTAATAAAGCTCTCACTCTCTTATGCATCTTTCTCACTAAATAAAGCTCTAAATGTACCATGCTGCCTCATTTATCTGTGCTGGTATTTAGAATTCTTCTCTAAATATTAGGCAAGAACCCACTCGGGCTTCCTAATATTGGGGATTTATTAGTAAGCATATGGTGAAATCACATGGCACCCCAAATTCCATTAGCATATGTGGCACCCCAGGTAGCACTTCTGGGGAATCCTGAAGGGCCACATGTTTGTGTAAATTTTAGGGGGTCATGTCCGATTTCAGCCTCCTTTTTTTTTATTTTTACATTTAAGTTATTTATTTAAGCCATCTCCCACCGTAAGCAGAGATGGAAGATCAGTATAATGGTCATCATTTGATTCAGTAAGGAAGGTGAACTTAAGGTCCCATAGACTTTTCTGGTCCACATGCAGAGTGGCGGTCCCTGGTGCCTGTGAGGGTCCAGGTTCTCGTTATTCGGCTTCATAGCCAGTAGGAAGTGGATTCACATGGGGTTATGGAATAGAGTATGGTTCCCATCTCCCCAGGGAAAGGGCTTGGCCCTGATGCAGAGATGGGGGTAGGCGATGAACTCGGCTCTCTCGTGCTCTTTGCGGTGCGACTTCAGGTAGACATTCAGCGTGCTCACGCCCACGCCGGGGAGCGCAACCAAGTAGGTGAGGGCCTTCCACATGCGAGCTGGGCCTTCCTCGCCGGGGGCATCGCTCAACATAGGCTGCCCCACCTGTAGGTGGGACCGACCTAGAAGCCGAGAAACCCTGGACCCAGCTGCCGCCACCACCATTTTCCTCCTGGACCTCTCCTTCTCCTTCCAAGATTTATTTAATTATTTGAAAGGCAGTTACACAGAGAGGCAGAGGCAGAGAGAAAGGTCTTCCATCTGCTGGTTCACTCCCCAGATGGCCGCAACCAGTCCGAAGCCAGGAGCCAGGAACTTCCCCACACAGGTGCAGGGGCCCAAGGACTTGGGCCATCTTCTACTGATTTCCCAGGCCATAGCAGAGAGCTAACTCGGAAGTGGAGCCGCCAAGACTCAAACCAGCACCCATATGGGAAGCCGGCACTGCAGGCAGCAGCTTTACCCACTACACCACAGCACCTGGCAGTGGCCTTCTCAGGGCTCCCTTTGCTTCCCCAAGAGCCACTAGGATTGTGGTAGCCAACCAAGCCAGCATGTGTCAGTCACCGAAACTGCAGAAATTACAGCTGAGGTCTCAGCTTAGGGGCCGTGGCCTGACAGCCAGGTGCTGCAGGGCTGGCCCCTTCGGGAGGCCCCTCGGCGAGCAGCAGATGTTCACCCCTCGCTCTCAGCTTCTGCTGGCTGCTGGCACTCCTTCGAGGTGCTTGGTCCTGTGGATGCAACACTCTGATTTCTCATTGCCTTCTCTGCTTCAGTGTGCACTCCTCTCCTCATAGGAACACGATGCATTGAATTTAGGCTCGTGGTGCATCCAGTATGATCTCGGCTTGAGAGCTTGATTTCATCTGTAAAGACCCAACTTCCAAATGAGGTCATGATCTCAGGAGCCGGGGGTTAAGACTCGGACTATTTCCAGGGGGCTGCTCTTCGGTCCACAAAGCGATCATGTTACAGCATGAACCAGAGAGCATTGCCCCTCTGCTCAACACTGTCCAAACGTCCCACCTCACCTTGAGTACAAATGACTCTTCCACACAGTCTGGCCGCTTCACCTCTCTGATTTCGTCGCCTACCGCTCAGATTTCTCATGCCACAGAAGCTCCTCTGTCCTCGGGACTCCGCGCACCCGCTAGCCTCTGCCTTTGCACATGGACCTCTACCAGGAACATCCTCCCCTAGCTCCCTCCGTGAGATTCTCCCAATCCTCTCTCAGGAGTCACCCTCTCCTGAGCCTTTCTTTGACCATGTTCTACAAACTGAACCTCTACCTTCATGTCCCATAATTTTTTTATCACAAGACTCAACAGTATAACATACCATATATCTTGATTTTTATGAGTGTATTTTCTGTC